TAATTTTAAAAAAATGAAAAACAAAATAAAAACGGTAAAATGCTGTAAAAGTTCCATAACAGGAAGTGCTGTAAAGCACAACTGTCGTAAAACTGCCAAAAAGCACACCAAAATTCAAAAAAATAAAAAGCTTTAAAAATAAAAAAATAAAAATAAAAATGAAATAAAAAATAACTTAGAATTTAAGAAATAAAATTAATTAAAAATAAATGAAAAACAAAATAAAAACTGTAAAGTGCTGTAAAAGTTCCATAAAAGGAAGAGCTGTAAAGCACGACTGTCATAAAACTGCCGTAAAGCACACCGAAATAAAAAAATAAAAAGCTTAAGAAATAGAAAAATAAAAATAAAAATGAAATAAAAAATAACTAAGAATTTAAAAAATAAAATTAATTAAAAATAAATGAAAAAAAAGGTAAAGTGCTGTAAAGCACAACTGTCATAAAACTGTCGTAAAGCACAGCAAAATTAAAAAAAAATAAAAAGCTTAAGAAATAGAAAAATTTAAAAAAAATGAAATAAAAAATAACTTACAGTTAAAAAAAACCAATTAATTAAAAATAAATGAAAAACAAAATAAAAACTGTAAAGTGCTGTAAAAGTTCCATAAAAGGAAGTGCTGTAAAGCACAACTGTCGTAAAACTGCCATAAAGCACACCAAAATTAAAAAAAATTAAAAGCGTTAAAAATAGAAAAATTTTTAAAAAAAAGAAATAAAAAATAATTTATAATTTAAAAAATGAAAATAATTTAAAAAAAATGAAAAACAAAATAAAAACGGTAAAATGCTGTAAAAGTTCCATAAAAGGAAGTGCTGTAAAGCACAACTGTCATAAAACTGCCATAAAGCACACCAAAATTTAAAAAAACTAAAAGCGTTAAAAATAGAAAAATTTTTAAAAAAAAGAAATAAAAAATAATTTATAATTTAAAAAATGAAAATAATTTAAAAAAAATGAAAAACAAAATAAAAACGGTAAAATGCTGTAAAAGTTCCATAAAAGGAAGTGCTGTAAAGCACAACTGTCATAAAACTGCCATAAAGCACACCAAAATTAAAAAAATAAAAAGCTTTAAAAAAAAAAAAAAGAAATAAAAAATAACCTATAGTTAAAAAAACCAATTAATTAAAAAAAAAGAAAAACAAAATAAAAACGGTAAAATGCTGTAAAAGTTCCATAAAAGGAAGTGCTGTAAAGCACGACTGTCGTAAAACTGCCGTAAAGCACAAGTGTCGTAAAAGATGCCGAAAAGCGCTACTGTCGCAAAAGGTGCCGTAAAGCGCGATTGTCGTAAAAGCTGCCGTAAAGCGCGACTGTCGTAAAGCTGCCGTAAAGCACGACTGTCGTAAAAGGTGCCGTAAAGCGCGACTGTCGTAAAGCTGCCGTAAAGCACGTCTGTCGTAAAAGGTGCCGTAAAGCGCGACTGTCGTAAAAGGTGCCGTAAAGCACGACTGTCGTAAAGCTGCCGTAAAGCACGACTGTCGTAAAAGGTGCCGTAAAGCACGACTGTCGTAAAAGGTGCCGTAAAGCGCGACTGTCGTAAAAGGTGCCGTAAAGCGCGACTGTCGTAAAGCTGCCGTAAAGCACGACTGTCGTAAAAGGTGCCGTAAAGCGCGACTGTCGTAAAAGCTGCCGTAAAGCGCGACTGTCGTAAAAGGTGCCGTAAAGCAGGACTGTCGTAAAAGTGTCGTAAAGCGTGCCGTAAAGCACGACTGTCGTAAAACGTGCCGTAAAGCACGACTGTCGTAAAAGGTGCCGTAAAGCACGACTGCCGTAAAAGGTGCCGTAAAGCACGACTGCCGTAAAGTGTCGTAAAAGGTGCCGTAAAGCACGACTGTCGTAAAGCTGCCGTAAAGCACGACTGTCGTAAAAGGTGCCGTAAAGCACGACTGCCGTAAAGTGTCGTAAAGCGCGACTGTCGTAAAGGTGACGTAAAGTGCTGTAAAGCGAGACTGTTGCAAAACTTCAGTAAACCACAACTGTCTTTAACAGAGACTTTTAGGATATAGGTGTTTAAAGCACTTTATTAGTATTTCCTGCCGGGCCATGGCTGCCGGGGAGCTGCTCCCAGCTTGCAGGGCGCTGCTTGAGCCGTGTTTGCTGCACGGGGGATGCCCGCAGCAGCCGCCCCGCCGAGCTCCGCCCATGCTGTGACTCCGCCCCTTGCTGCCGCGAGTCTTCAACAGGACACGCCCCCCTCCCGTCGGACCCCGCGGCTCCGGTACCCGCAGTCCTGCTTGGCCCCGCCCCCTGCCGCCTGCCCCCCGCTCCCGCCCTCCCCGCCTTTGCCATCCCGTTGGTCCCCGCGCCCGGTTTCGCAATCCTCACGGCCCCGTCCCTCAATTCCCGCCTCTACGAGCCCGCCCACCAACGTCACCGCGGCCCCACCCCCTTCCCCCCGCCCCCCCCCCCCCCCGCCGATCCCGCCGCTTTCCCCCCCCCCCCTCGCTACCCGAGAGCGCGGCGGCTTCTCCCGCCCCCCAAGCCCCCTCGCCCCCTTTGCCGACACAGCGGCGCCGCTGCTGGCCCAGGTCCTGTTGCTGCTGCGTCCTTGCAGTCCCCTGCGGCTCCCGGATCTGCGGTGCCGAGCACGCCTGGCGCGGCCGCGCTGGCGTCCTCAGCGCCCCCTGCGGCCGTTGCCGCGGGAACCCCTCCTACCCCGGCGTTCAAGCGCATGCAGCGCACCCCGAGCTGCTCACGGGCTCCGCGCAGGGCAGACGCCCACGGCTGAACCCGCCCCTGCCGGCGTTTGGCCGCAATCCCCCGGTCCCGGCACGGCACCGCCTGCGCCGGGACCGGGGCGCCCCGGCCCGCCGAGCCACCCCGTGCCGGCGCCGCGGCGTCCGCACCGGTGGCTGCAGCCCAGCCCGTGCCTGCCGCCGCTCCTGCCCAGCCCCGCCCGTGCCTGCCGCCGCTCCTGCCCGGCCCCTCCCGTGCCTGCCGCCGCTCCTGCCCAGCCTCCCGTGCCTGCCGCCGCTCCTGCCCAGCCCCTCCCGTGCCTGCCGCCGCTCCTGCCCAGCCCCGCCCGTGCCTGCCGCCGCTCCTGCCCGGCCCCTCCCGTGCCTGCCGCCGCTCCAGCCCAGCCCCGCCCGTGCCTGCCGCCGCTCCAGCACAGCCTCCCGTGCCTGCCGCCGCTCCTGCCCGGCCCCGCCCGTGCCTGCCGCCGCTCCTGCCCAGCCTCCCGTGCCTGCCGCCGCTCCTGCCCGGCCCCGCCCGTGCCTGCCGCCGCTCCTGCCCAGCCCCGCCCGTGCCTGCCGCCGCTCCTGCCCGGCCCCTCCCGTGCCTGCCGCCGCTCCAGCCCAGCCCCGCCCGTGCCTGCCGCCGCTCCTGCCCGGCCTCCCGTGCCTGCCGCCGCTCCTGCCCAGCCTCCCGTGCCTGCCGCCGCTCCTGCCCAGCCCCTCCCGTGCCTGCCGCCGCTCCAGCACAGCCTCCCGTGCCTGCCGCCGCTCCTGCCCAGCCTCCCGTGCCTGCCCCCGCTCCTGCCCAGCCCCGCCCGTGCCTGCCGCCGCTCCTGCACAGCCTCCCGTGCCTGCCGCCGCTCCTGCCCAGCCTCCCGTGCCTGCCGCCGCTCCTGCCCAGCCCCTCCCGTGCCTGCCGCCGCTCCTGCCCAGCCTCCCGTGCCTGCCGCCGCTCCAGCCCAGCCCCTCCCGTGCCTGCCGCCGCTCCTGCCCAGCCCCTCCCGTGCCTGCCGCCGCTCCTGCCCAGCCTCCCGTGCCTGCCGCCGCTCCAGCCCAGCCCCTCCCGTGCCTGCCGCCGCTCCTGCCCAGCCCCTCCCGTGCCTGCCGCCGCTCCTGCCCAGCCCCTCCCGTGCCTGCCGCCGCTCCTGCCCAGCCTCCCGTCGCTCCAGCACAGCCTCCCGTGCCAGCCGCCGCCCCAGCCCCCAGCGGCTGCACGCCGCGCTCCAGCCCCCCCCCCCCCCCCCCCCGCAGCAGACTCCCGCCGCCTCCACGCCGCCCCTCCCGGGATCATCTCCCCGCCTCCCGCCACCCCGGGATCATCTCCCGCTGACGAGGCCGCCCCGCCGCCTCCCGTGGTCGGTTTCTCGCTCCTGCCGCCGCTCCATGTCGGGCCGAGCCGCGTCTTCCACACCGCAGCCCCCCACTTCAGAGCTGCTGAATGGCGCAGCTCCGCCGCCTCCTGCAACCACGGACGTCCCGGCGTTCCGGCCGCAGCCGCAGGCGCAGCCCCGGCTCCCGTTCCCGCAGCTCCGCCACCTCCCGCGCCCGCCCGCCGTGCGGCCCCCGCCCGTCATGGTCCCCACGCTGCCCTGGTGACACAACCCACGCATTCACGGTTGCTACAACCCCGCACCGGCGATATCGCTCCGCGCCGGCTCATCCGACCCCAGCGCCGCCGCCACCCCCCCACTGCTTTCGCCGCAGTTTTGGAACAGCCCGGTCCCGGTTCCGAGCCGCTGCGTGCCGCTGTCCGACCACAGCCGCCATCCCTGTGCCCTGTCGCGCCGCTTCCGCCGCCACCGGGTCCGTACCCGGCACCACAGCAGGCGAAACGGCAGCGCCTTGCATGTATCCTTCCGCGTCTTTCCCTCTGCCGGAACTTGAGGAGCCGGGCACGGCAGCATCACCGAGAGATCCCTCCGCAGCGCGGGACCCTGCACACCCCACACCTGGTGCGCCTCCGCGGGACCCTGCACACCCCACACCTGGTGCGCCTCCGTCTGACCCTGCAGAACCCACACCTGGTGCGCCTCCGCGGGACCCTGCAGAACCCACACCTGGTGCGCCTCCGCGGGACCCTGCACACCCCACACCTGGTGCGCCTCCGCGGGACCCTGCACACCCCACGCCTGGTGCGCCTCCGCGGGACCCTGCACACCCCACACCTGGTGCGCCTCCGCGGGACCCTGCAGAACCCACACCTGGTGCGCCTCCGTGTTTTCGCCTTCCGCGCTCCCAGCACCGAGTGGTACTACTTTGTGTCACGATTCGGCCGCACAGCCGCATCCACGCACACAAACCGTGCAACGGGGGGGGGGCTGGAATATGACAGCTGCTTTAATAAATACAGGACAGACAGAGAATTATTTCACCCCTGCAAATGCCAACCCTTTGATCCCAACACAAAAGAATTTGGAAAAAGAACTGTTCCCAAACAGCTCCAGAGTCCCCCCAATGTTTGGGACAGATTCAGACCCTGAAAATTCGGCAGCATTAATCCCAAATTAGAAAACTCACAAAAATCTTCTGATAATTTTTAACGAACAGACTGGGATGAAGTCAGAGGCCAGATTTGCAAAGAAGAAATTCTAAATCCTTTAGCTGTGCCTGTGCTATTCAGCCAGCAAGCCGCTGGTCCTAGAACACGGGTGGCTGTCCCACCTCATGAGATAAAAGAATTGTGAAAAGCAATAAGGGACGGTGGCATCTGCTCCCCAGATTTTACGGGGATACAAACCAAAACTACTTCAAAATATTACAGAGTATAAAAATGCACTACAACACATGAGAGCACAGTGGACAATGCCAGAGGATTTAAAAAATCCCACTTTTCCCACTGTAGGATTTTTTATCCCTCCAGCACCACTGTGGGACCTTTTCCCCTGGTGCTGCCATGGGATTTTCCCACCCCAATACCATGATGGGACATTTCCCACCCCAATACCATTATGGGACATTTCCCACCCCAATATCATCATGGGACATTTCCCCTGGTGTTGCCATAGGATTTTTCCCACCCTAATGTCCCTAATATCATTGTAAGATATTTCCCCTGGTGCTGCTATGGGATTTTCCCCACCCCAATACCATTATAGGACATTTCCCACCCCAACACCATTATGGGACATTTCTCACCCTAATACCATGATGGGAAATTTCCCCTGGTGCTGCCATGGGATTTTTCCCACCCCAACACCATTATAGGACATTTCCCACCCCAATACCATTATGGGATTTTTCCCACCCCAATATCATCATGGGACATTTCCCCTGGTGCTGTAATGGGATTTTTCCCCACCCCAACACCATTATGGGACATTTCCCACCCTAATACCATTATGGGACATTTCCCCTGGTGCTGTAATGGGATTTTTCCCCACCCCAACACCACTATGGGACATTTCTCCTGCCAGTACCACCACAGGACCTTTCCCAGCGTGGCTCCTGCCCCAGAGCTGCTCAGATGATGCCAGCTGGAGCGAAGACAGGGGTGACACAAAGCGTCTCTGCCATCTCCCAGCCACAGGACAGGGGCGTGCAGAGGCTCTCACGCTCATCTTCGGTCTGGGGTGGCTTTCCCTGGAACAGCTGGATGGTTTTCCTGCAAGGGGAGACAGCCAAGGGGGAGGAGCAGCCCCTTGAGAATGGGATGGGGAAACGCCAGGGCTCTCCTGTCCCCCAGAACGACAGCCAGAGGTGAGCTGGCTCTCTTTTCTCCACTAAAAAACTGCCTCAAGTTTGGTAATATTAAAAAAAATAAGATTTTTTTGCCTCTGAAGCCATGATTTCACCCTGAATTTCCAGGTTTTGGAAACTCAGATTTCCCCCTCTCCCTTGGGCCCAGGTGGAAGAGAAGGCTCAAGTTTGATAATATTAAAAAAATAGGATTTTTGCCTCTGAGGCCATGATTTCACCCTGAATTTCCAGGTTCTGGCACTCAGATTTCCCAGGTGGAAGAGAAGGCTCAAGTTTAAGATTAATAATAATAATAATAATAATAATAATAATAATAATAATAGTAATAATAATAATAATAATTTTAAATAGGATTTTTGCCTCTGAGGCCATGATTTCACCCTGAATTTCCAGGTTTTGGAACTCAGATTTCTCAGGTGGAAGAGAAGGCTCAAGACATTAATTAAGACATTAAATAATAATAATAATAATAATAATAATAATAATAATAATAATAATAATAATAATAATAATAATAATTTAATATAATAATAATCTTTTTAAATATTATTTTTTCCTCTGAGGCCATGATTTCAATCTAAATTTCCAGGCTCTGGCTCTCAGATTTCCCACTCTCCCTTGGGCCCAGGTGGATGGATGAGAAGCCCTTGCCTGGCACAGGACCCATCCCTGCCCATCCCTTACCAGGCCATGCGGGACATGGCGTAGGTGACCCGAGCCTGGGCCCCCCCGGCTGTGAGCAGGGATGCTGTTGGGGTGCTGTAGGCTCCCATGTCCCCAAAGATCAGCCAGTCCCCCACGTGCAGCTGGGGCAGCTGCAGCCCCTCGGCGATGCTGGGATCCTCTCCAGGCCCCCGCGGGCCCCGCAGGCTGCAGCTGTGCCAGGGCTGCTCCGGGCACGGCCTCTGCAGGAAAAACAGGGGGTGAGGGTGTCCCAGGGGCACACTGAGCCCCAATTCAACCCCACAGAGTGGGTGCAGCTTCCCCTGAGGCAGGAGGGTGGCTGAGGGACATCCTGAGCTGTCCCCAAGGGTCTCTGTGGGATGAGCATGTCCCAGGGGCACACTGAGCCCCTCACCATGTCCCAGGGGCACACTGAACCCCAAATTCAGCCCCACAGACTGGGTATGGCTTCCCCAGTGGCAGGGGGTTGGCTGACACAATGTGAGGGACATCCTGAGCTGTTCCCAAGGCAGGTGAGCCCCTCACCATGTCCCAGTGGCACACTGAGCCCCAAATTCAGCCCCATGGACTGGGTGCACCTTCCCCCTGTGGCAGACCCAATGTGAGGGACATCCCAAGGGTCTCTGTGGGATGAGCATGTCCCAGGGGCACACTGACCCCCAAATTCAGCCCTACAGGCTGGGTGCAGCCTCCTCTGTGGCAGGAGGGTGGCTGCCCCAAAGTGAGGGACATGCCAGGCTGTCCCCAGGCCAGGTGAGCTCCTCACCTTGTGCAGCCGGGGCCTGGGGCAGGGGCTGTCGAACAGGAGGCAGCTGAAGGCGCCGTAGATGCCATCGCTGAGGTGATAGACCAGGCTCTTCTTGCTGCCACACTCTTCCTCTGGAAGGGACGGGGGAGAGGGCTCAGGGGGGCTCAGGGACACAGGAGACACATCAGGGAACAGGGAGAGGGCTCAGGGGACAAACTGGGGAGTAGGGAGAGGGCTCAGGGACACAGGGGACACATCAGGGAGAGGACTCACAGGGGCTCAGGGACACCTCAGGGAATAGGGAAAGGGTTCAAGGGGTCTCAGGGACACAGGGAACACATTGGGGAATGGAGAGAGGGCTCAGGGACATGGGGACACCTCAGGGAATGGGGAGAGGGCTCAGGGACACAGGGGACACACTGAAGAGCAGGGAGAGGGCTCAGGGACACAGGGGGCACCTCAGGGAGCAGGGAGAGGGCTCAGGGACAGAGGGGACACCTCAGGGAATAGGGAAAGGGTTCAAGGGGTCTCAGGGACACAGGGGACACCCCCTGCTGTCACACCTACCATCAGAGCCAGGCTGCTCCACGGGGATCTCCTCCAAGGCAGTGATGCTGACAGCCAAGGTGAAGGCAGAGGTGACGTAGTAACGCCCGGGCCTGGCAATAATTTCCACCCCACTGCCCTCAGGGAAGTACAAATCCAAGGCAGAGTTTATCCCAGCAGCGATCTGTGAGGGAAGAAAAAGAACCTTCCTGTTGGTTAGCTGGGAATTCTGCGGGGATCCAAACCCAGGGAGAGCTCCAAGCTCATTCTCTGCCTTCCAAGGGCAGAGCTTGGAGGTTTGTACCTCTTCCAGCGGGGCTCTGGTGTCCTCAGTGGCAGGGAAGCCCCCCCCGATGTCCAGGAGGTGCATGTGGTGTCCCAGCTCTGTCCCCATGTCAAACACCAGCTGTGCTGTGGCCACAGCCTGGGCCCAGGCCTGGGGCTCCAGCCCACGGCTCCCCAGGTGGAAGCTGAGGGCACAAACCCCATCTCAGCGGGGTCTGATCACCCCCAGAGCAGAGGGGACACGGCCCTGGGGTTGGCACTCACACAGCTTCCCACACACCGTGCCAAGGCAGACCCACAGAGCCCCACGGAGCCTTTCCTGGGGTCAAACCTGCCCAAAATTGGTCCCAACAAGGTCAAATTCCTGCCTTCACCTCACTCCCAATGACCCAAGCCAGACCCACAGAGCCTTTCCTGGGCTCAAACCTGCCCCAAATTGGCCCCACCAAGATCAAATCCCTGCCTTCACCTCACTCCCAAGCAGAGCAGCTGCAGCACTGACCCAAGCCAGACCCACAGAGCCTTTCCTGGGGTCAAACCTGCCCCAAATTGGCCCCAACAAGATCAAATCCCTGCCTTCACCTCACTCCCAAGCAGAGCAGCTGCAGCACTGTTGTTCCAGCAGGGCAGAGCTCCCCAGATCCCCATCCAGAGGGGCTGAGCACCCCTAGGGAAGGAGGCCCAGGGCTGTACCTGATGCCAACAACCTCCACAGCCTGGTCCTTGGCTGTCTGCAGCAGGTGCCCACAGGATTCCAGCGTGGTCCCGAAGCTCAGGCTCGGGTGGGCAGCAGGGATGGAGTCAGCATTGATTCCCAACAACATCCTGCACAGCAAAGCCACCAAAGCTGGGTTAAAGAGTCTTGGAATAACAGGATTGTGAAAGGAAAAGCCTTTGAGGGCTGGAAAAGCCCTCAATAATCACTGAGCCCAAATATTAACCCCAAGTATTAAGTCCAGCACTAAACCATGTCCCTGAGAACCACACCTACAAGTTGTTTTAACTTTTCCCCTGGTGCTGCCATGGGATTTTTCCCACCCCAATATCATGATGGGACATTTCTCCTGGTGCTGTTGTGGGATTTTTCCCACCCCAATACTGTTATGGGACATTTCCCCTGGTGCTGCCATGGGATTTATCCCACCCCAATACCATGATGGGATTTTTCCCACCCCGATATCATTATGGGACATTTCCCACCCCAATACCATGATGGGATATTTCTCCTGGTGCTGTTGTGGGATCTTTCCCACCCCAATACCATGATGGGACATTTCCCACCCCAATACCATTATGGGACATTTCCCACCCAATACCATGATGGGACACTTCTCCTGGTGCTGTTGTGGGATTTTTCCCACCCCAACACCATGATGGGATTTTTCCCACCCCAATACCATTATGGGACATTTCCCCTGGTGCTGCCATGGGATTTATCCCACCCCAGTACCATGATGGGATTTTTCCCACCCCAGTACCATTATGGGACATTTCCCCTGGTGCTGCCATGGTGATTCCACCCCTTCCCTGGGCAGCCTGTTCCACTGCCTGGTGACACATTCAGTGATCCAATTTTCCCCCATATCTAATCCAAACTTCCCCTGGCACAGCTTGAGGCCGCTCCTCTTGTCCTATCACTTGGGAAAGAGACTCACACCTACCTTGTCCAACCTCCTTTTGCCCCCCACAGCCCCCTGCCCATTCCCCACTCCTGTGGCACTGCCAGGCACCCACCTGGCACGGGGGTGGCTCCTGGCCACCTTGCTCAGCTCCACCTCGTTGTCAAAGGCCATCAGCCTGACCCCGTGGGTGGCTGCATACCTGAGGTGGGCAACCTGCTTGCAGGGGCTGCTGTAGAAGATCCTGTCTGGTGGCACCCCAATGCCTTGGACACGGGTGATCTCTGCCTGCAGGGACAAGGGGACACGTGCAGCAGGTCCCCAGGAGCTGGGTGAGGACCAGCCACCAGTGCTGAGGAGTGTCACAGCCTGGGCTTTTCCAGGGAAAAGCTACCAGAGCTCAAAGGGATCACAGTGGACTTTGTCCTGGCATGGACAGGTTTAAAAACACCAGAGAATGGGAGAGGAGACAAGTGGGGTTAGCAGGCTTGGGGCTGACTCCTGGTCTGAGCTGTGACAACTCTTGCCCTTTCTCCTCCTATTAATTTATATAAATATATATATAAAATATATAATATAAAATATATAATATATAATATATAATATATAATATATAATATATAATATATAATATATAATATATATAATATATATAATATATAATTTATAATTATATAAATTTATATAAATTAAATCCTATTTAATTACATAAAAGTAAGTGATTTGATTTTGCCTCTTCCCTGGAAGTCTGGCTGTTAAAAATGACAAGCAGGAGGGAGCAAAAAAGCTTTAGATTCAGCCCTAAGGACACCAAGAGCTGGACAGCTGTGACAGTGACACCCCAGGGATGTGCTGTGCCACCAGCCAGGACAGCAGGGACAGGAACGAGGACAACAAAGATGGGACAAGGAATTCTGGGCTGTGACAGCAGAGGGAAATGTCACCTGGAGCACAGACTTAGGAAAGGAGGGTGAGCTCTGCCACTCCCCCACCAGCATTTCCCCTGGAGCTGTCCTCCCACAGCCCTACCTTGTTGGCACAGGCAAAGCCTGCCCCCAGCTCTGCCAGCAGCCTGAGCACCCCTTCAGTGCCGTTGCATTTCACTGGGAAATAGGGCTTCACCCGGGGCAGGGCCTTCAGGAAACACAGGTGCTTCTTCACAATGTCCCCCAGGTCTGCCACGAAGACGGCCTGCTGCTGGCTCTAGGGGACAGCTGGAGTGAGCAGCAGCTCCAGGAGTGCCCCTTGCAAAGGCAGCAGCAGAGCAGCAGCCCTCACCTCCTGGCACAGCTCTCCCAGCAGGTTCTCCAGGAGGTCTCTGGTGGTGAAGCCCTCCTCCACCATCAGGAAATTGGATTCGTTCAAGAACCCGTTCATGGTGTGATGTTCTGGGTGTGGGGATGCCCCTTGAAAGCCTCCTGGAGTTGAGGATGGATTCTAAGGATGAGACACGCTGTAAAAAGGAAAGGAATATGTGACCATGTTCACAGGGGTCTCAGGCTGAGGGAAGAGACGAGGATCTGACTCCGTGTTTCAGAAGGCTGATTTATTTATATATTTATAAATAAATCTAAATATATATAAATATATAAATAAAAATATATATTATAATATATATTATATACATTATATATTATATATAATAATATATAATTATATATAAATATATATTAAAAATTTATATATTTTATTATATATATTACATTAAAACTATACTAAAAGAATAGAAGAAAGCATTTCATCAGAAGATTAGCTAAGAATAGAATAAGAAAGAATCAATAACAAAGGCTCTGTCTCAGACTCTCTGTCCGAGCCAGCTGGGCTGTGATTGGCCATTAATTAGAAACAACCACATGAGACCAATCCCAGATGCACCTGTTGCATTCCACAGCAGCAGATAACCATTGGTTGCATTTTGTTCCTGAGGCCTCTCAGCTTCTCAGGAGGAACAATCCTAAGGAAAGGATTTTTCATAAGAGATGTCTACAACAGGAATATTTAGAGGAAGGGTCCAGAAGCTCCATCAGCATGGACCACCCGTCCCACAGCCAGGGTAGAGCTCTGTGCTGCTCTGCTCCAAACCTGCAGCTCAGCAGAGCCCTGCTCTGGGTTACAGCATCTTCCCTGGGGGAGGAGACACATTTCTCTGCAGTTCAGAGCTGTTTTGGCACACAGCAGCCTTGTCTCCATCAGCAGGCACCAGCACAACGCCAAGTGCACCACAAAGAGCAGAGATGCCTCTCTAGGCCAAGAGAGGCCCCTTCATGGCCTGGAATCTGCTGAGTGCTCAGTGGGGTGAACATCCCAGATGGATCCCAAACAGCTGAGGGCTCCTGGACCCACCTTCCCAGGGGAAAGGCCCAGCACAGGGCACTCACTGACACCATCCAGCCTCAGGGCAGCCTGGATCCCTGCTGTGGGTGCAGTTCTGTGTCTGTCCCGTGACACAGGGTGTGGAACAAGGGGACAATTGAGCAGCACTGAGTTTTCTGGCTCATCCTAGCAAAGCTTTCGTTTTGAGCTCACACCCTGAGCTTTAACAAACTCCTGCCCTGGATCCAGGCTGACCCATAACCCAGGGAGCTGGTGAGCTAGCAGGGAACATTTCCACTCCAATAACCCAGGTTTAGCTCCAGGGCTCTTCCAGGAGCACGGTCTCTCTGATTTGAAGTGAGCAGGAGGCAGAGGTTTCATCTCTCAGAGCTGCACACCCCCTCCTCCCCACAGACACCTCCTGACTGCATTCCAGGGGGCACTGGGAGAAAGACCACGCTGACCCTGGAGCAGCAGGATGTTGTAATGCATTGAGCAAGCACCAGCAGCCAATCCCACAGGCAGGAATGGGATGAAAAAAACACGTTTTGAACTCTTAGAAGGAAAAGGGAGCAACTCCTTCAGCTTTACCCTTCAGTCCCCATCACCAAACAGCACCAGCCCACCCTGGCTGGGCACAGAAGGGATGAAATGGGTCACTCCTGTCAGGACTCATGCCCCAGCCTGGGACATTCCCCTCCTTACCAGGGTCCAGATGTCCCTCCCAGGTGTCCTGGTGTGCTGTCAGGGGGGCTCCCCGAGGAACACCAAGCTCCTGCAGCAGCCTGAGGTGTAGCTGTGCCTGGGGGTCCGGGGTTTCTGGGGAGAAGCAGTGCAGGGGCTTAGAGAGGGAGAGGGGCACTGACAGCACAATGCCCTTCATCCCCATCCTTAAATCAGCAACCACAGGCACTCCACAGCTCCCTTCTCACTGTGCCAGGCAAAGCAGCTCCCCCACAGCCCCCCCAAAGCCCCCTTACCTCGGAAAGCATTTAAACAGACTCTGCCATGGGTATCCCAGGAGAATGAACCAGCTCCAGGGCCGGCTGTTTGTCCTGCCCCAGCTCCCTGCCTGTCCCGAGCCCCTGCAGAGGATGGGGGTGCTCTGCACCCCTTCTCTCCCAGCGCTGCCTCCCTGCTCTGCCTCCCAACCGTAGCCATGACAACCAAATCCAGCCACCCCATTGGCTGAGCCGCCTCCGAGCATCCTTCATCCCTTTTGGAGGAGGCTCCCCCTCCTCGCCCACCCTCTGCCGAGGCTGGGGCTGCCCCCTGCAGCCACCCCGGGCTCTCACCGCGTCCCCGCAGCTCATCCCCAGCCCCGCAGCCCGGCCCTGCCTCCCGCAGGGACCCTCGGGGGCGAGAGAGCCCGAAATACCTCGGAAATGCCGCTGCCAGGGAAACCAGGCTGCCTGCAGATGAAAGGCTGAGCGGTGTTTGGCTGGCAATCCGGAGAGGGGGAGGGAGTTGGGAAGATGTCAGGGACCGATCCTGCCCTTGCTGAGCTGCTGCTGGTTCTGGTGGGTGCCCCAGGGGCAGATCCAGCTCTGCCATCAGTGCAGATGCTCTGTGTGATGATCTGTGAGACCTGGATCTTGGACATGGTGTCACTGCTCCATCCCACAATTTTTATTTTTTTTTTAAATGCTTCTTGTTAAATGTGCAGGTCTCTCTCTGGTGCTGCTGAGAAGCCAATGTTCTGTCTGTGGAGGGGTGGCTGTCCCCTCTGAGGGGGGAGTGAGAAGGACCAACTTATCCTGAGTTTCTCTATTCAACACTGTGGTCTTGGCTTTGCCACAGACTCTCCTGGCAACCAGGGCCAAGGAAGTTCTTGTCTGCTCTGAGATCCTGGCTGGTTTTGCCTTGCTCTGGCCCATCCCCAGTGCTGGACTGTGCTCTGTGGGGTGTGGGGACCATGCAGAGAGGCTGGGAGAGCAGAGAGGGGCAGAGCCCTGCAGTGCCAGCCCCCCCTGGATGTGCTGGGCAGTGTTGTGATGCAGAGCCCATGCAGAGCAGGGCACTGAGCCCATCCCACGCAACGCCAGGGCAAGCACAGCTCAGAATCCCAGGATCAATTAGGTTGGAAAAGATCTCTGAGATCACAAAGTCCAATTCTGACCAGACACCACCGTGTCAGCTGGCCCACAGCACCAAGTGCCACATCCAGTCTTTCCGTAAATACTTCCAAGGGTGGTGACTCCACCATTTCCAGAGAAGCTCGTTTCAATGCCTAAACTTCCTGTGAAGAAATTCTTCCTAACCTTGTGCCCTTGTGTAGCTCAAGACTGTGTCCTCTTGCCCTGTCACCAGCTGCCTGGGAGGCAAACCCTGCCCTCACCTGGCTCCAAACTCCTTTCAGGTAGATGCAGAGAGATAAGGGCAGCCCTGAACCTCCTTTTCTCCTGGCTCAGCTACCTCAGCCGCTCCCCATCAGATTTATACTCCAGCCCCATTGCCGTTCTCTGGACACATTCCAGCAGCCCAATGTCCTCCTTGAGCCGAGTGACCCAGAGCCGGACGCAGTTCCCGGGGCTTGGGGACAGCCCGGGGCAAACGCGGAGACACCGAGCGATCCACGTGGCGCGCAAAGCCCCGCCCACCCCCTATAACCCCGCCCACTTCATTCATAACCTCGCCCACTCCATGTAAAGCGCGCTATATTTGCATATTATATATCTAATTTTCATAGCCCCGCCCAGCGGCGCTGTCCCCGCCCACGAGGCGCGGGCCGGGCGCGCAGTTGGCGGCGGCGGCCATGGCTCCGAGCGCTCAGGCGGGCCCGGGCCGCGGGCAGGCCCCGGCCGCGGGGATCCGCCACGGCATCCGCGCCGTGCTGCTGGGCCCGCCCGGCGCCGGCAAGGGCACGCAGGTGAGGGGGATGCGGGCGGCACCGGCCGGCGGGACCTTCCCCACTGCCGGCGCTCAGCGTGTGACCCCCGCGTGGAGGGACGCGGGTGTCCGGCCTTGGGCTGCCCGCTGAGGGATCGCGGTGCGCGGTGTGTCCGTGTGGGCCCGGCTCTCCCGTACGCGGGGGCTCGGTTCTATCCCGCCTCCAGGGCCCCGCTCGCCGCGGCTCTTTGTCCCCGATCCCTTTGTCCCGGACTCGGCCCGGGTGTCGCTGAGCTCCGGGGCTCCGTGCCGGGCCCTGCCACGTGCTGGCCGGTCAACGACTGTCCCGCTGCCGCCACGGGGGGACGAGGCCCCGCCGGGCCGGGGATCCTCAGCCTCCGAGGGCCGCTCTCACCTCTGTCCTCTCCCGCAGGCCCCGAAGCTGGCCGAGACCTACTGCGTGTGTCACCTGGCTACCGGCGACATGCTGCGGGCCATGGTGGCCTCGGGCTCCGAGCTGGGCAAGCGGCTCAAGGAGACGATGGATTCGGGGAAGCTGGTGGGTCCTGGGGAATGTGCTGGGAGGGGAGACGGGCTGGCGGCATCTGGAATGAGAGCAGACAAAATCCATCTCCTAATTAGGATTCTTTAATTAGCGTAGGAATGCAGATTGCAGGGTGAAGGCAGATTGCAGGGTGAAGGTAGGGATGGGGGCTTTCCTTCTATCACCCTGCAGGAGAAGCATCCTATACAAACATCCTTCCTCTTCAAAATTACTGCTTGCTTACTAGCAGCTTGTGGCCCTGGGTTGTTTTTATTTTTTAGGGGGTGTAGTCTGGCTGGTAATTTTCTGGCTCCTGAACACTGAGGTCACAGTGTATCCTTGGAGCTGCAGGATGTTACAGCCGGGCTTTGAGGCTCCTGTGTCCCTTCACTTGATACCTGAGCTCCAGGTATCACTTCAAAGGGTTCATCTGCATCCCAGCTCTTGCATAAGCTCGATTCACCTGTAACTGTGAGGTGAAAATGGACCTGAAGGTGTTGCTGTGGTAGTTACAGCAGCTGCTGTGTGACAGAGACACTTTGGATTCTCAAGGGACACAAGTTAGAATCTCTGACATTCTTTTTCTGAGGGTCTCATTATCTCACCCTTACAACTGAAATATCTCAGGGAAACTCAAGGGACCACAAATTGCAGTGACTTGCCCCAATGTGGGGCAGATCTCAAGCATCCCTGTGGCTGCCACGGCCTCCTAACACCCCAGGGAGAATCTGCAGGCCCCAGATGGGGAGAGCAGCCTTATCTGACGTCTGCTCAGAGCTCATTGCAACACTGAGCCTGCAATACCCAGCTGGTTATGAAAGATAGGGACGTTATCTGGCCAGGCTGGTGGTATCTGCCACGTGTGTTTGTGTGTGGCAGGCAGCTCCAGGCTGCTCCACAGGCACATCCCACAGCCCTGTGATAACTCAGCTGGGAGCACACCAGCATTTCAGGATGGCCTTTATGCTCAGGATCTTTTTTTTCTCCAAAGGGTGTAATCAGGAAGGCACAGAAGTGACTTGTTGCTTACTTCCCCTGCCTGCAGGGTTGTTGTTTGTGTGTTGTGACAGCCTGGTCCCCAGTCCTGCTGGGTCCCAGTTGTGTGTGCTGGAGAAAACAGAGCTGCTCCCAAATAAACAGCTATTGTTGGGGCTGCAGCATCTGTGAGTGCTGCAATGTGGAAAAGGCACTAATCCCAGTGGTATGCTGAGATTGTTAGATGGGGGAAAAAACTATCCAGTGAAGCCAGAGCTTGTCAGCAACTCTTGGGCTTTTACCTTTGTATGAGGTTTATGGGAGTCAATGAGCAACTCGCCTGCTCTGCCCTTCCTGCCCGGGCCTGCCTCCCGAGGTGGTTGTGTAGGTGAAGGTACAAAGTAACAGGAAATCAAGGTTATGTTGATACTTTGTATTGTGAATTGGTTAAAAAAAATAATAATCTAAGGAGTTTGAGCTGACAGCATTCCTTGCAATACAGCAACCTTTGTAACAGTGAAGTTACAGTGCTGGTCCAAGTCCCTGCGTAGGCCGGAGTGTCCCTGGAGTGAAATGTGGCATTGCCCTTGTCCTGGTGTTGCAGGGAGTGCTGCCCTGATGTGGGCAGGCCTGAACAGGCAGCCTGAGCGTTGACATGAATTATGGAATCACAGAATATCCTGACACACAAGAATTGGAAGGGACACACAAGAATTATTGAGCCCAGCCCTTGGCCCTGCACAGGACGACTCCAAAAATCCCACCCTGTCCACAGCTGTGTGTAAATTCAGGGTGCCCTTCCTGACAACATACCTGTCTCATCTCTGCAGGTGAGTGATGAGATGGTGGTGGAGCTGATTGAGAACAACCTGGACTCCCCTCCCTGCAAGAACGGGTTCCTCCTGGACGGCTTCCCACGCACAGTGAAACAGGCAGAGATGGTATGGGAGCCCCTGCTCGGGGGCTGCTGCAGCACCCCCTTCCCTGTAACCCAGGGGTCCCTGCTCCCTCAGCCCCTCTGAGGTGGGTGTTTGCTGTTGCAGCTGGATGAGCTCCTGGAGAAGAGGAGAGAGAAGCTCGACTCCGTCATTGAGTTCAGCATCCCCGACTCGTTGCTGATCCGGAGGATCACGGGACGGTAAATCCTCCTGTCCCGGTGCTCAGGGCTTGGGATTTCCTAGTCCATGGAAGAGCATCCTCATTTCAGATCCCAGGTTGTCCTCATGGTGCTTAAGGCTGGCTGTGCTGCTGGTCTCTATTTCTGCCCTATGCCTGGGCCAGCCTTGAGCAGAGCACCTTCCTTGCCCTGTAAATCAGGGATTTCTATAGAAAATCTAGAAAATCTCAGCTCACTCTAAGTTCCTCCTTCTCCAAAGCTGTAATTGCTCCCCTGGAGCAATTACACAGGACCCTGAATACATTTGGGTACCAGTAACTTCCTCCAGGGTCAGGAGTGTGTTCTCTTGCAGACCCCTTTCCCAGCAGAGCAGGATGTAAAACTCCCCTTCTCCATCTCCCAGCGCAGCTGCTTTTCCAAACTGAAGAGGCCCTTGGTACAGAAATAACTGGAGAGAATTTTCTTACAAGTGAAAGGCTAATGGTGCTGCAGTGACAGATGTTTCTGTGCTGATGAGTGGCAGGTTCAGGAGATCTTGTCCTGACCAGCTGCTTTGCTGACACTTCTTTTCTGTCTCAGGCTCATTCACCCAGCGAGTGGCCGCTCGTATCACGAGGAGTTCAGACCCCCGAAAGAGCACATGAAGGACGATGTATGTGAGCTCCCAAGGCTGCAGCTTACCTTCCTTTGGGTTTAGCTGATGCTTTGCAGTCTCTCCCTGGAAAAACTAATTTCTTTCCTTCTCTTACACCTTCCTGTCCTGGCTTTCTGGGGAGCGTGGGGAGCTGCTTGTGCAGCCTGAGCCGACGGCACTGCGGGGAGCGAGGCCTGGAGGGATGGATGGATGGATTGGATGAAGGGTATGGCCAGTCTGCAGAGCTCAAATTGTGACTGGTTTCATCCTGGGGAGCAGCTGTAGCTGGTGCCTGCTCTCGAGGCTCCTTTTAGAGACAGAATGGTGTGTGGGGAAAAAGACCACGGTGCTCAGCCCTTCTCTCTTCAGTGACTACTCTGGGACTTGTTCTGGCTGCCCTGGGTTGGCTCCATCTCCTCTGCAGCACCACCCTGGATGAGGAGGGGAGCAGGGAGAGAAGGGGGGGAGCGTGCCAGGCTGCAGCTGGCTGGAGAATGTCGCCTTGCTTCTCCCAGGTCACTGGAGAGCCCCTGATCCGCCGCTCGGACGATAACGAAACGGCCCTGAAAACCCGGCTGAAGGCCTATCACACCCAGACCTCCCCCCTGGTGTCCTACTACAGCAAGAGAGGGATCCATACGGCCGTGGATGCCTCCCAGTCCCCCGACGTGGTGTTTGCCAGCATCCTGGCAGCCTTCACCAAAGCAACATGTAAAGACCTGGTTATGTTCATTTAAAGCTCCATCCCAGGATGGGCTTCTCCTTTTATTTTTTTTTTTTTCCTCTCTCTTTCTCTGTCTCTGTCTCTCTGGGGCCAAGGAGGGTGAAGAGCTGAGCAGAGTAGAAGGGGAAGGGATGAGGTGATGCAGCCCAAGGCAGGGCTGTG